ACTGTGCCAAATAAGACAACAGGTTTCCTTAGCTAAGACTTTAGAATCTCGTGGCATCGATGTGTGCTGCGTCAAAGGCCAATAAGCGTGGTGTTTCTTGATTCGTTGGACAGGACTGTTCTCTGTGATTATCTACTGAAGAAGGATGTATCTGAGATGCTTATCAACGTCTTGAAAGCCCTATATACAAACACCCCAGGTGGAGTGAGGGCATACAACCACCTCTCTACATTGTTCCATTCAAGCAGTGGGGTTAGGTAGGGTTGCTCCATTTCACCATTCTTCTTCAACTTTGCTTTCCATGACGACATTCTGGAAACAGCCCTGATGGACATAGGTAGTGGTGATGTGGATCTGTTGCCTGGCGAAAGACGCTTAAACCTTGAGTATGTGGATGATATTTTCTTATTGTATGATGATATCCAAGCCATACAATCCGCACTTAATCAGTTGGTAATCAGTGTCCATAGGTATGAAATGTGTTTTGCACCTTACAAGTCCAAAGTGTGTTCACAAGACTGGCGGGACCCTGGTCCTGCACTCACCCTGAGTATTGTGTGAATAGAAGTAGTCTAGAAGTTCGTGTATCTGAGTAGCTGCGTTAGTGATGGTAACATCGTGAGCGATGAGACCAGTTCACGTATAGTGAAAGCCTGAGCGGCTTATGTCAATCTATGCCATCTATGGTGCCTTTGTGGTGTTAATCTTACTGTAAAAGATCGAATCTACAACGTGCCGGTGAGAGCAGTTTTGCTCTATGCTTGTCAAACCTAACCTTTTCGCGTTGAAGATGTTAGACAACTATACGTATTTGGTCGTCGTTCTCTGAAGAATCGCTGACATCCAGTGACAACACCATGTTAGTAAGGCAAAGGTTCGGCATCGTGTGTTCGGGCACGGCGATTATTACTATTATTATCATTAATATTATTATTATTTTCATTTCACTCTCATACACTAATTTCTGTTTTTTGTCCTGTTATTATACACACATTACATTCTTTATCTCTTCACAACCTCATTGTTATTGTGTGGCGCATATATACTCGGTTCCCCCTTGTGCCAATGTTAATGTGTTCGAATAAATAAACAAAATAACTTTTAGAGATAGATAAATTACAGTAATCGCCGTAACACAAGTGAGACGCAAAGTCGTTTTACCAGAAAAGAAGATTCATCGATTAAGTAGCTCACAGAATTTTGGAAATGGTGAATTTTTCGATCGTGTTCCAAAAATCAGAAGTTTAGAGGACTGAATTTAATGATAATTTTTCTACTCGCGTCTATATGAGCTACCTGTGTTTAAGTGATACTAAGAACTCACAAATTATATTCATGGAGTACACTTTGGGGGTCAAAAGTCTAAATACTTCTATGTTAGTGTTGATGCAACTTTTAAAACATGTAGGGATTTATTTGTAACTCGTTTCTAAGGTGTTGTAGAAATGTAAGCAACCAGCAACAGCATATATTTAAATGTTTTAACATGACAATGAGACAGAATGAATGCCACACAAATGAATGGCCACAGTGTTTTCTTGGTATTTAACGACTGCTTTGTCGAAACAGTAATTAAATAGTTAAATCAGTGTTATGTTTAATGGGAACAAAAATTAATGACAACTTACACTAGAAAGTTTAGAGATTTCCCATGATACGGCGACCAACTGATATAGATGTGAGTATTGGAAGCCAAAACCAGTAACATTATAAATTGAAAGAATTTTTATTACCTATGGACTAGCTTACGGGCTAAAACGAAAGCTAAACTCAAGGGTTCATAGAACGTCACATCAAAACGAAGTTTTTGCAAGTATTTTTTCGTTTCTCTACAATTTATATAAACGTCAGAAAGCTATTAGTATGATTTAAAAAACTCAGATTTGCAATTTCACTACAAACCTTGTTAGGAACACAGAATTCTCTGTGCACAATGCATAGCAAAGAGCATATTAAATAAAGAGCGTAAATAGCACAGGCGCTGATTGAAAGACCTGACAAATCAATACAAAAAGACTACACTTCTAAGGAAATGTCTAACCTATGTTAATACGCCTATTACAGCCAGTAACGCAAATAATTGTGGTCCGCGCTAACGCTTCATTTCAATAATCGCGTTTGTAAAGTGGTTAATTTAAACGAACAAAATTTGTATTTCGTTGATTATGTGAACGTACCATCAGTCAGAAATTCGCATTTTTTCCAGGAAAACCCGAATTCCTGACATCTTGATACGTCCCGACGACAACCTCGTTGGGTTTAAATTTTTGACTGGCCACGTCTTGGGGTCAACATTACCGCACTAAGAGAGAGTGATCTGTAGCGGTGTATAAATCCACAAATTAAATAGCTCTGTAATTCTTCGACATTGGATGCTGACCACATGTTTTAATGGACTCACCTGGTTGAAGGCGCTCGGCCATGCATCCACGCCAGATCACGAGTGGGAACGACGTGTTAAACAACCCCTACAATCGCTAGCCAGATTAGATCAGACAACCTCTCAATCCTGGCTCCTCTGGGAAAAAGCGATCATGCCGTCATAGCCTTCAGTTTTGTCATCAAAACTAAGCTAAGGTATCCCAACAATAATTTGCGTTGGAATTTTAAACGGCTGAATGTGCCAGCTCTACATGACTATCTACAACAGGTGGCTTGGGATGTTCACCCTCAACTCGATGTGGATGGTCATTGGGACTTCTTACTGCACACGCGCTTATGTGCTACAGACCATTCAGTTCCTCAAACGGTTCCCAAAAGCTTCAAGCCACCTACAGTAATCAAGAACCGTACCCTTCGCCTCCTAAGACGCAAACGGCACTGTTGGGCGGAATACAAACGAACTAATAACGATGGAGCGTATAGGCAATACAAACATATCAGGAACACATGCACGAAGGCTATAAGAGAAGACAGGCTTCAGTACCAAACAAAGCTTATGGACAAATTCGCCTCTAACCCTAGAAGCCTATTCCGTTATGCAGCCTCTCTTCGTCAAGCCAAAACAGGAGTTTCTCAACTGCTAGGTCTTAACGGCCCAACCAACAACGATGGCGACGCCGCTAACCTTCTGGCGGCCCATTACTCTCAAACACTTCAACCGGCTGACATCAACTTTATTGACGACAGTTTCATCTCCAACTCCACAGGACTTTTTGAAGTGAAACTAAGCGCTGACTTGGTGTTCCGGAAATTGCAGCACTTAAGACTTGACACTTCTCCTGGCCCGGATATGGTTCATCCTGCCATACTGAGGGAGGCAGCCTCAATCCTGGCAACGCCGCTTAGCGTGATGTTTTCACACTCGCTTAGCCGAGGCAAATTACCGGAAAACTGGAAGTTGGCTGACATCACACCAATTTTCAAAGGTGGTCGACGCAATGAACCTTCAAGTTATCGGCCGGTGGCTCTTCTGTCATTACCTTCAAAACTCATGGAGTCCCTGATATGCGACGGTTTAAATGACTATCTACTGTCCTTAAATTTCTTCTCACCCTAACAGCATGGTTTCAGGAAGGGTTACTCTTGTATAACCAACCTGCTGACTGCGGTGGACAGATGGACAAGCATCCTCGATCTCAAGGGAAAGGTTGACGTCATTTACCTTGATTTCTCAAAAGCTTTTGATAAGGTTAACCACTTGTGTCTTATCAACAAGCTCAAACGACTAGGTATCAAACCACCTCTAATCGATTGGCTTAATTCATACCTAAAAAATCGACACTTTAAGGTTAGGGTTAATTTCACTTTATCTCAAGCTATGGAATGTCCTAGTGGGGTCCCCCAGGGCTCAGTACTAGGGCCTCTTCTCTCCTTGATCTACATAAATGATCTTTCTCAACAGGTAACGTCAGACTTATTACTTTTTGCCGACGACGTGAAACTTTGGAGAGAGATACGCAACCAAGACGATATACAGGCACTTCAAGAGGATCTGACTCGACTTCATAGTTGGGCAGACGATAACGGACTTACCTTTAACACTTCTAAGTGTAAAGTAGTCCATCTGCGACATGTCGCAAACTACAGTTACAACTTAGGAAACTCCTCTCTAGTAGTATCCCAAGTCGAAAAAGATTTAGGAGTCCTGGTGCCCCATGACTTAAAGTCTTACGCTAACTGTGACAAAAATGCCTTCCGAGCAAACCTTGCACTGGTAACGTTGAGGCGCATTTTTGGTCAGTTTGACGGAAGAACTTTCCACACAATCTTCAATAGTTTCATCCGTCCCCATTTAGAGTACGGAAACATAATACTCCCCCCTCACTCCAAAAGGATAAGGTCACTTTGGAGCGTATCCAACGGCGAGCCACGAAATCAGTTCGAGGACTCAAATCTAAGCCTTACGAAGAACGCCTCCGTTCACTAGACCTTTACCCACTAGAATATAGGCGTCTTAGAGGTGATTTATTAATGGCTTATAGTATTCTTAACACTTCTGGACATCCTCTTAAACACCTACTTAAGCTTAGTTCGAACAATAACCTAAGGGGTAACACCCAGAAACTGGAAACACAACATAGCAAGACGGAATGTAGATACAACTTCTACTCCTTAAGAGTTGTCAAATGCTGGAATTCGCTGCCGGCCGAGCTAGTCCAAGCGACTTCTCAGGAGTCCTTCAAGAGGCAACTTGACCTATTCTTAAGGACCAAGGACAGCATTACATTATGATTTACCAATTTCTTTTCCTTTTTTATTGTTAACATACCTAGGTTCCTGCCTGGAGGATTTGGTGATCCCCTGCTACTAGACACGGAAGCCTGTTAAGCGAAAGCTTCTTCTATTCAGTCCACAACCATTTGAACCATTTGAACCATTTGAACCATTTAAATGCTTACCTGCATACCCTTGAGAGGTCGCGCGGTGTATTTGATGGTGTCTTAATAATGCAAAGCTTGCAAAATGCACCTCAGATTCATTCAACTGCCGGTGCAGTACCTATTAAAAATGAAAAAGGTTTGGTAGAATCACATTACTGACTTTTAGGCCAATTTTATATGGTAAAGGTTAAGGTCCAGCGCTATGTTGCCGGAAAGAAACCTGATTTTGCTTCAAGCTCTAGTTCTGAATCAGAAGAGGAGCCAACTGTCAATGATACCGAAGAAATCAAGGCTTTTTCATCGCGGTCCGGATTAATCAGAGATCGTTTCAGAGGGCAGGAGAACTCCAAGTCGACAGCAGACGGATCTGATCAACCAACAGCTGAAGAGTTAGCTGACCCTAGATTCAGGAGATTGTTAAGGGCCAAGGTAAGGGATGGTGCTTATAAACAGAATTTGTTCGCTTAATGTTCTTTAATGGATCGGACCAGTCAATAGGCATAAATGTGATATGTGTTTAACAATGTATATATCTATCTACATAAATACATGTTTAGGATGGTTGAGTTCTCTTCATACATGCACTTTTGCTGCACTTCGGTTTATAAGGCTGAATTGTACCCATTGCCCTCTGTGGTTTGCGTATTTACTAACGTTTAATGTCACGTTCCAAAGCAAAAACAAGTCGTGTTGTTTATTTTCCAAATTTTCTAATGATTATATGTGAATAATTTTAGACACTTCACTAATTTAGACTCCAGAAATCAACCGTGCTACAGAATCGTTGTTTGATATTCAGAAGGCTCCTAATTTTTGATAATTGAAATTGTGGTTGGAGGCTTTAAGTACTTTGAATTTACGAACGAGAATGAGGATGAACATGGTGCTTAGTTGAAAGAAATGTAAATGAAGTTCTAAATCTATCCATCTACCGAGCACCAACACACTCAAATCTTTATATTCTCTTCAATTCAGCACATCCATTAACTGCAAAGACCTTGCTGGCCCTAAGTCATTTTAGGAGAGCGAACAATCAGTCTTCAGTAATTAGGATAGTAGGTTGATGAACCTGTGTTAATCCTGACACATTGCTTTCCAGTGAAGGTCCAGCTTTTCCTTGAAAGTATTCACTGATGGGGCTGATACCACTTGTTCGGGTAGGGCGTTCCAATGATTGACTACTCGATGAGAAAAACGGGATCCCACTTTAAGTTTATTAGATCGTGGTTTATGAACCTTCTTGCTATGACCTCGGAGATTATTAGTGCTGGAGGGAGCAAAAAGATAAGACATATTAACACCCAAATCATAATTAAAGATACGAAATGCCAGTATAAGGTCACCTCGTGTCCTACGATACGACAAGGGGAAAAGATTTAGGCGTTTTAAGCGCTCATCGTAAGGGAGTCTAGAAAAACCCTTCACTAATTTCGTTCCCACACGCTGGACACGCTCAAGGGAGTTAGTATCCTTTACCAGACACGGGCTAGCTGCTTGGATACAGTACTCTAAATGTGGTCTAACATATATGGGATATAAAATTCGAAACGTTTCCTCGTCAAAGCATTTGAACGCTCAGCGAAGTGACCATAACGCACGAAAACCTTTGACAGCGGCTGCTTTGCAATGCGCAGTTGTTTTTAAATCATGACTTAATATTACTCCTAAGTCCTTATGCTCTTGAACGCATGGAAGAGGTTTACCCTCAATAGTGTAACGGTAACTATTACCGTGACCGACGTGCATTAGTACACTCTTCCTAGCATTGATTTCTAAGCCCCACTCTCGAGCCCATCTAACTAAATCGTCTAAGTCAGCTTGAAGATCCACATAATCAGCCGCACTTTTTATTGTTCTCCAGATTTTTACATCATCCGCAAACAACAATCACATCGGAAGAGGATAAAAAAAGAATGTAATTAGCATACTACAGTTTAATAATTTTCCCACGAAGATTATCAGAAGTGTATTAAAATTAGACGTTCCACTGCTAAATAATAACTCGAATGAAATACCATGGATTGGTACTGCAGTTTTACCATTACCGCCATGGTACAACAGAAAAACAAAAAATTTAAAACACAGAATTAAAGTATATTACAAAATAACGAAAACACTTCGAAATACTTTAGTTCACTTAAAAGAAAAACTCCCGTGTATGTCAACACAAAACTGTGTCTACAAATTTGCATGTGTCGATTGTGATGACATCTATATTGGAGAGTCATTTCGGGAAATCTTGACTCGAGCCAAAGAACACTAAAGAACCACCTAATAATCCCGTAGAACTGCATAGACTTCAAATTAAATTGGCGATAGCAGTTCATGCCATCTTCACCAACCACCAAATCGATTTCAAAAACATAAAAGTATTATAAAAAGTTTTTTTAACTACAAAGAAAGGAGAGTAGCTGAAGTTTTTCATATGATGCTTGATCCTACTGCTCTTAATAGAAAAGAAGGCCTAACTATACATCCGACTTGGACTGTCTATCCGAGCTACCATACCTGATGTTATTCACATATCATACTGTTGTCGTACATACAAATTAAACTATCTTTTTGATCTGGTTATTTATTCTCTAAAGAAGTGGCTTACACTGAGTCACGAAAAGTCAGAAAGTCTACTTTTCTACTCATTGGGATAATACAAATATATTATTTTACTTACATTGAATAAACGTTTTTATATTGACTAACAACCCTATAATTTCGGAACACCTTTTCTGAAATTGAGCTTACCACTGAGCAGTAAGTACTAGAATTTTACGTTATTAAATGTACTATGGATATGCCATCTACATCAACTTATTATATGGTTTTCCTGTAAGGTTTTTGTCAATTTCTTCTTTAGGACCAACTGAGCCAAAGCAGTGAGGATGAAGAAGAAACTGATAGGGTTACTCGTCACAAAAAATACCGAAAATCTGGTCATTATAGTGAGGAAAGTCCTCAAAATTCTAATGGAGAGGATGCTGACGAAGAGGACGTTGATGAAGCAGAACTAATGAGGAGGCGTGAAGTAAGCCTTTTAATTTGCTTCTTACTCCTGTTCACAAATCTAATTAATTCACACCACCGATTTTTAGCTATCTTCAACTTGGCATTTTTAGAGCAAACAAGTAGGTTGGTTTTAGATTTCTCAAAAATCATGTGAAAAATAAGTACGAGGTATCAAATTAAAGAAAGAATATTTTGCACCAAACAAATCAATGAATAGAGAATGGACCACAGTATTTCACTGGTATCTTTAATACGAGCCTCTAAAATGAAGCTAAAAAGTCTGTATTGGTAACAATCCCCCAAATACATAAACTAAACTATTAGTTTTGGGTGGAAGCTAAACATCATTCGGAATAGTAATGTTGACTAAATACTAATAATATCAACCTATAATGACTCAGCATTACAATTCATTCCTAACTTGGATGTAACTTCACGGGTGGTTGCTTTTCACCTACCACAATTGTCTAAAAAAAAACCGATATTATTAGTAGTCGACTGTTTGCGGACAATTGAATCCTATTTTTAATTTGTTTACTTTTACTGTAGCTTATTCGTAAGAAAGCATTGGCTGCTCAGATCAATGCTGAAGTAGACAAACATTGTGGGGATGGATATAACGACACTGGCCACGAAGACGTGGAAGCGGAGGATGAATTGGGTTATTCGGAAGAGGAGTACACAAGTTCAGATGATGAAGTAGCTCCTAAATTAAAACCAGTCTTCGTACGTGCACGTGATCGAATAACGTTACAAGCTAAACATAAGGCAGACCAACTTGCTCAGGAGACCGAAGCAGAAGTAAAACGACTTGCAGAAGAACGTCGTAGAACAACACTTAAGGTTGGTTTAACTTTTAAACCCTCCCAGATACATTCGTTTGAAGATTTTGGGCATATTAAAATACATTTTAATGTCAGTTTCAAACATTTTACTCACTAGATTTTAGTATATATGGCGGTGAATACCCGTTTGGGGTACATTGTTCTATATTTCTAAATGTAGTTTATATCCTAAAATGGTAATATCACTCGATTAATACTTTTTTCATTTTATGTTAAATATGCCTCAAACTTTATTTACATAGTATCTTTGACTCATAAAGAATTTTATGTTTTTATTACTGAGGTATTTATGGACACTTAAAATAGCTGTACTTAACACAAGGAGAACTGAGTTGTGAATCTAAGTATAAACTTTTCTACTTTTGACCCCTTATAGGAAGTATCAAAGTACTCCATTTTCGCTATGTATCTTACAGTATTTATTTGTAAGGAAGGTTTTGACGGGTCTCAAATTCTTTCAAAATTTCTCGCTTCACAAATAATTAAGTGTGCGATGGAATGAATATATTTATGACTGCATGTGACTACCAAAATATTTTAATGGTTTACTCGGTTTAAACTAATTATGGTTTATGGCGAAGGCGAGATATCCGTCTATCAATAAAAGGACAAGTATACTGCGCGGCAGTTCATTCTGTCCTGCTTTAAGGCTGCGAAATGAGACCATTAAGAGTAGAAGATACTCGTAAGCTGCTAGTATTCGACCACAGATGCCTTAGAAATATTGCTGGCGTCTGCTGGGATCACCGGGTAAGTAATAGTGATGTTAGACGCAGAGTATTAGGAAATGATGGTAAATCAGTTGATGAGGTTATGAATCTTCATCAACTGAGATGGTTGGGCCACTTGTTACATATACCTGAACACCGATTACCACGACACGCAATGCTGACTAGTGTTGGGGATGGTTGAAAAAAAGTAAGGGGCGGCCAAACCAAAACGTGGCATTGGTCCTTGAAGTCCCTGACTTCTAGTCTGAGTCATGTTGGTGGATACAGACTACTTGGTTATGGTCCGCGTGACTATCGTAACCAATGGTTGTAGACTCTTGGTGACATGACTCAGAATCGATCACGATAACGTAGGCCCATGCACTCTTTGTCTTCTCTTAAACTGAAATTAAAATTGCTCTATGTCCTTCTTTCTGCGAACTAATTCTTTCTCGCTGTATCATATCCTTTTATGCAATCTTTGTTAATATATATATATATATATATATATATATATATATATATATATATATATATATTACTACCATTGAAGTAACTACTTCTATGAATTCCGTGTTCATCTTGTTATGGTAATGAGGTGTGACAACTTGGACCGATGCATATATGTGCCTGGTCTTACGCTGTAGCTGACTGAATTATAGTCTATATTTCGTCCATTAAAATCGTTCTTTTTGAAAATAGTGAGCAACGAAGAAATAAATTTTGCTAATAAGATATAGAAAATTATTGTCCCGTAGTATCTTGTCAAATAAATTCGATGTACACCTGTTTGGTAACTTTAAAATTAATTTAAGAAGTACGGTCGTTTATGGTATCCATCACTAGAGGAAATGGTATCGTTTGTAGCCGTAGCGAAGCTTAGTTTTTGAACAAGGGATTAAGGAAAACAGTTTATGAACTTTACTTTACATTATTCTAATTTCTCACGGTCTAAACAAAAATATTAATCTTTTGTTGTTTTTATTATTGATATTGACCATTTAGCTACTAGAAACAGAACTACGCCGTGAAGCTGAAGAAGCTCACGCAATTGAAGACGCTCTTGACGCAATAGATTCTGATGAAGGTCAAGGCAATCCCCAAGCAGAACAAGAAGAATATGAAAAATGGAAGGTTAGGGAACTAAAACGTATTCGACGAGAACGTGAGATTCGGGAGGCAGCACTACAAGAAAAGGCTGAAGTAAGTATTTCACTTCCTAACCGTCATCGTATACAATTAAAATGTTGGTTAGATTTGGTCTCAGTGATGCACGTGTTTTCATTACCTATCTTCCCTTTGATGTTGAATGTCAGTATTATTTCATACATCCCCTTTCTAACCATATCCTTCATGTTTACTACTTTTTTGCTATCATCGATTCTAACACTTTTGAATCATTTGCTATCCAGCTCTGCTCTGTGATATGGCCGATATACATTTGTTTCTGGATGTACTATGCTTTGGACTGACTGGCTTTATCTTTTACATTTATTGATGTGTTTTTATAATTCACACACTAAAACTCACTCTATATAGCTTTAGGCTTGGCTGCTGTTGGGGACGTTAGATCCCCAGAACTCACTTGGAAAAGGACCTAATTTTGTAATTTTATTTAGAAATTTTGAATTTCTTTGTTTTCGCGCCAAAAGCGCTCTTTTCACCTTCATATTGTATTTCCCACTTGGGAGAATCTTAAATGCCATTTGTCCGTTGTCTTTAGTATGCTATTTTGTAACTCTCCCCAAGAATGTTTTGTGCTGTATATATAAGTTTTGATTTGTGTTTGTTGTTATCGCTCGTTTCTGGCTGTTTGCGGAATATACTACCCCTATTCTAAGCTTGAAATTCTTCCTCTAGTTAGCGGGGCTCGTAACCGCTTCAAACATAGCAGCTGCTGACTTCATATAACTGAAATTCTCACATTTTATTCGTATACATCCTATTTTTGTGGATGATCAGGTGATTATGATCTGAGATTTTAACTCACCGCTTTAATCCTTTATCAGTTCCACATCTTTAAGATACATACAGTACAATTAGAAATTGTTTTTGTAAATTTGCGTGTACTTGCTTCATTAACATTTGGAACTGCTTATACTTTGATGCAAGTCACATATTATTGCTAGTCTCATTTGTTTGTGCGTATTTCTCTGGTTTGCAATTACCTTTAAACGAAAGATCTAGGCAGTTTTGTGAAAATTCTTTCATTCAAGTATACATTTTTACCGCTATTCGTTTTTCTCTGCTATACATAACAATCTGACTAACATGCATCTCAATTTTATGCTAGAGTTCTTTATTTGTGTATTTGGTTCGATTAGTATTAGAGGGCACTGAATAAAATGATAAATTATTTTAAATCCTCTATCCATGATGTGAATCTTATTAATAGTGTCTCATATGGCTAACCACAACGGCATTCACTATCTGACACGGTAAGTTTTTATGGACCTTTATGTATGTAAGAGTCACTTAATTACACATGTTTTTTAAACCGTGCAGAAATTGACATTGGTGAGTATGAATTTTGTGAAATGTTTGTCACCAGTGTATTACGATGTAACCAAACAACAATGAACGGGATTCTATTTTATAGTTAAATATATCGATAAAAACATGCAACTTTTTTTATATTTGATGATTGTTTGTTTGTTCAGTGCTTAACTCAAGTAGCCATTTTTTCAAACAGTATGATATATGCTCATGATAAATTTTATCTTATGACATAAAAGTGCTTATAATTTGTCTTATTTTCTCCAATGTTCGGTTTACGAAAGTTGGTTCAAACGGTTCGTAAAATTAACTTCGATTATTATAGTGACGTAAACAATGTTTTCAAACTAAACAGAGCTTATTTCGTCATTTTAGATTGAGCGAATACGTAATATGACTGACGAACAACGACGTGAAGAATTCATAAGAAATCCAAAAGTTATCACAAACAAAACAGCTAAAGGAAAATACAAGTTTTTGCAGAAGTATTTTCATCGGGGAGCTTTCTATGTTACTTCGTTGGAGGACAAAGTATTTCAACAAGACTTTACACAGCCTACTCTGGAAGATCATTTTGACAAAACAAAGTTGCCTACTGTTATGCAGGTCAGTGACGAAAGAATTGATCTTCATGAATCCTTATTTTTTGGAAGGCTATTACCTTGACTGTTTAGGACTGAATTCTACTACGAAATATTCAAAGCAGTATAGAATTATTATGAACAGTCTTGAGTAGATTAATCTTCAGACGAACAGTTTATTCGAAAAGAATAGGTATACTTTGATACGCATAACGTTTTATGGTTCGTTAGTTAAACGATATTAAAATATGACATGGTGAGAAGAAAAAAGTTCAATGAGATTAATTAAAATGTAGGAGAAATGTCACATTAATAATCAAGATCTTCTGTAGCAGTTACGTATGTAGATCTATTTTGAGCTAATGTCCATACTTATTTTATTGTATTTAGTTACCTAACGATAAACGACTACGTTTCTTAATGATGCCTAACTATCTCTTGATTCTTAACGTGGTTTTCTTAATCAAGAATGTTCATCTTGAATATCATTCATGGATATATTCCATTCTTGGTATACTACGTGTCTGTTTACTATATGTTGATGGCAAATTAATATCATACCAAGACGAAAAACGATTTAGTTCTCATAATAATTTGCTTGGGACCCTCGAAGTTTGATCATGCGGTTGATATATTTATTCCATAAAATCATGATTCGAACCTCTCTTTTATTTTGTTTCATCAAATCAAATGTATTTAAATTAATAACATTGATCAGGCTAGTGGATTGATTACTAGAATAACAACGGATTCAGAGTTAGTGATTTCAGTATTCATCAAACTTTGCTATAACTGTTATGATAACACCCAACTTGCGAATTTACCTTTAGTCGAGAAGCTGGTGCATAATGCCCTTTTGAATATGGTTTAACACTGTAAGGGGAATATCTTGTCTCTTTATACCATACCCACCTCCCAAAAATGGAGTTAGTTATGAACACCGTAGGACCTAGCACACAATCATATTAATGAAAGCAGCTTAAATATAAACAATGGAAATATAACTAAAAAACAGTTGGGATGAAAAGGTAGAGAGTTAAGGTTGATAAATTGGATGTGTCGGCCACAAAATGCCTGTCATATTGACAGTTCTATAGTAATACTTCAGCTCACTAAACGCCAATCCTTACAGGTAAATTAGAAGGCGTGAAACGAGCTTTTTGTACTTTCATTGAGTTCGATGATAAATCATACTATCTGTCTTGTCGATATAGAAAATTAAATGCGTTTTAAATGTAATGTTATATTTAATACTTAGGTTAAGAACTTTGGTCGTGCTGGTCGGACTAAGTATACACATTTGGTTGATCAAGATACAACTGTATTCGACTCACCATGGTCAACAACCAATCCACAAAATATGAAGTTCCAGTCAACTCACGGTGGAGGATTTAAGCAAATATTCTCGAAACCTGGTTTATCTAAACAGAAGAAAAAGACAGGCTAGCACCTTAATTATGATAATGTGTATATATATTTAGCGAAACAGCAAGTCGAGTTTTCCTGTTTTCACTAATTTTCGATTTTTTTCTGTCCATGAGTATGTACACAGTTGATGCAAATAAATAATTCTGTTTATTTTAGAATTTATGTTCGGTAAATTCGTTGCTTGAATAATTTTTTCTGGTTAGCGTTTTTTTAGCGAGTTAGTTTTCTACGGGATTATGTACATGCTATTCCGTTTCAACAAAGTGTTATTACTTAATTTATTCACGTTATGACTATTACTTCGGATTTCTTTTTACATACATTCTCATCAACCACGTAGTAACTTAATCAAAGTTCACAGGCTTACATGCATAAGACGTTTTGAACCAAAAACAGGTATAAAAAATAATGAATCAAACCTAGTTTTTTTAATATTCTTGGTAGTATACTAGGGAGAATAACCGGAGTATACCCGTTTTGACATAAGCTTTATGCGCTTACATATTTTGGTAGCTGTATTTGTTTGTTAATACTAATCTGTAATAAATGATTAGCAGTCAACAAGTGAATCTCCTGGTAGAAAACCAATCTATGGGAAATCATACAACGAAAGCGTTGTCTCTACAAGCATGTCTATGACAAAGTCAAATAAAAATGGAGAAAGCGGAATACTCTGACAATCACCACTTGAAGTAACCGATTCCGATCACAGTTCACCATAAGCTCTGACTCGACCAGTAATGTTCGAGTAGAGAGTTTGTACGAGGTTAATATACTTGTTTGGTACTCCTAATAGAACACTGCCGCAGGACCTCACGATCAACGGAATCGAATGCCGTTTCGAGGTCAGGGAATACAACTTTAGTAGGACGTCGAAAAGTATGGCTATGTTCCAGAATCTCCCAAGGTACCAGTATTCAGTCTATACATGCGCATCCAGCTTTGAAATCAGCCTGGTTTTCTCGACTTTGCTCATCAAGAGCTCTTGTTAGACGTTAAAGTATTATTTAGGCTAATATTTTAGACAATATATTAGCTAAACTGATTCCTCTGTGATTGTCACAAGAGAGGTTTTGTTCTTTCTTATAAACTGGGATGACAAGTGATCGAGACCAATCAGACAGAATCACGTTCAATCCCCATATTTTAGGTAATGTATCAGTTAATCTAACTGCGAAAACTGGGCCACTATCCTTAAAAATCCCAGGGGATAGTTCATCAGACCCTGCTGCTCTCCCTCGCTTTAGATTACTTATAGCCATTCCAACCTCACTAAGAGTTGGAGGACCCGCATCAATTCCCTATTTAGGTTACTAGGGGATAGTGGGTAAGTGAAGTGTGGCTGAAGGCCTGTTGAACTGTCTCCTAGGTTGCTCTGCTCATTGGTTCAATTTCCTGGACTCAGAGTGAATAATAGTTCCATCTTTTTCAGAGATCTTTTAACTAACAGCCAAATTTTTAATGCCCGTTTCCTTGATAGGTCTGAACAGTTGTCCATTGTTATCTATCGCTGCTACTTTTCCCATCTCTACGTAGCCTTCTAATCAGCCTACTTTTAAACTTCTTCCGCCCCTCATCGTGCCCGGAGCCAGGCGGGATGAGATTCCGAGCATCTATCAGTGCTGTAGCCACCTCTTAAATCCACTGATTTTCCTGAACCTTTTGGACTGAGCTACTAATAGATATCACTGCCGTCCCCACAGCTTTTTAGATATCATACCAAGCTACCTCAGGGTCACTATCACTTCCAAGGTTGACTAATTCCTTTAGTTGCCCCTGAAATATATTCTTAACTTCTTCATCATTAGGTTGGATTATAAGAGGTTTTCTTGCTGTAGCTTTTCTACTTCCAATAAGACTCAGACAAATACGTGCTCGAACTAGAGTATGATCCGAGTCTAAACATGTGGTCCAGGGTGTGTGATAGTCTTCAATCGAGCCCCTCCAGCGATGGGTAATGTGGTAATAGCAATGTGATCTATTCGAGTCGATTTTGGGGTCACCACGTTGGACGATGCTATCGCCTTTTCTCGTATATCGTCGTCGGCTTAAATCACGTTAGTCAATAACGGAATTAAATAAGTCGAATAGCGAGAATTGATTTGTGAATACATATATTTTGTATATGAAGCGAATCAAACATAGCAAAGCAAAATGACACGCAGGGAAAATGGCTGGGAAGCCAACTCCCATTTTAGTCAAGCGTTACTCAATATTTATAGTCAGACAAAATAAAGCTACAGACATGTGATTAATAGGATAAGAAGGGCACACACATATACGCTCATATAAAAACAGTCTAGATTGATAAGCGAATAAATGACAAGGTCAATGTATGGCTCAAGTAAAATGAATAGAATGGGATGTCCGAAAGCTAGAACAAGGTATATGGGCTTAATATAATAACCGACACTACACTATACCTATACTAGCGAGGTCGCAGGAAGTTTTATTGGGGTCTCTAGATACTGGAAGGGTAAATCGTGGCGGTTCTTCATATTGACAAGGTGAGGTCGTATTACTGACTACTTAGATCCTGTATGCGCGTTTCGGAGACGCAGCATACATCGATGGCGCGAGACTTTGGTCCGAGCGAACGAAGCCTGTTGCCCTATCTGACACAAGATTCGAACATTTAAAGCTCCAACATGGAGTTTAGAGCGTGGTTTTAGGAGACCAGGAATGACATTTCGTAAGCTCAAATTATTAGCATTGCTGGCGTGTGGTAATAAAGTTATATGAGAAGAGTTAGTCGAGGGGATAGAATTACTGAGAGGTGATCATCAACAAAATGATGTGAGGGTGGACCCGACGAAGAACCTAAATTAGTATTGTCATTAACGACCTGGAAGCGCTGCCACAGAGCCTAAGGCCGTGTGAGTACGAGATTTTTATGCAAAGATTTCGATGTGTCAGTCCCGCATTTCAAAAGGCCTTACCACCGGAGACGGAAATTCATGGGGTAAGGTGAGGTTTTTAGGTCCGACCTTTTCTAACCGCTTCCTTCCGTTGTGAGAAACCAGCATCGCTGCAAATACTGATTGTTCGAGTAAGACACCACTGCTGTCACACCTCTGTACAGTCAGCAGTATGACTTCGCCCTCGGGTCTCAAGTGTGACCTATAGGAACATGTTTTCCAGACAATATAGCTCGGTTGAGTCATCACGATAAGCAAGCCCGATCACCAAGTTAAGGTAGCACCTACGGTTGGGAAATATATACTTAGAATTATTTTCTACTATGTTTTCAATAATAATAATAATGTTCTTTTAGGGGTGCAACGAGTAAATGCGCTGACCATTCAAATATAATGTAGACAGGCTTCAACTCCCAAACTTTCTGGCTATATTTGAAGCTATGTTTATTTAACATACCTATTTCTCTAGTCAAGTAGATTTAAAGTGATTGCAGTGAATAGCTACGCCTAAACTTTTTTCTTTGTCTTATAGAAAACATATCCATGTAACAAAATAGAGACAGTTCCGTCAATCGGTCTGTTTCGCTTATATACTCATCTCTCAAGATAGCAAATTCTCGGTTGAAAACTCGTGCTGTATTTGGTTTAATAATGTTTTCGGACGTTGTCATCTTCAATGTATAGTCTGAAGCGTTGCTTCAGTAGATCGGTATTAATAGTCCGTAGATCTAATTCCTTAATACTGTTTACGGAAGTTTTATTAAAAATTGTGGGTGATATTGTTACTAATACGGTATAATGACAGATAAAAGGAGAAAGTTCAGGAGCAAGAAGGTTTTTGTGACGTTGGCAGTGTGAGGAAAAGTGAGGCTTCTTGGTTTTTCATAGCGTAAATATTGATAGCTTAAAGTACTCGAGAAATTATTTGGCACAGTGTAATAATGGTACTCAAAGAACATTTATCTGATTTCGATAATGGTATTTTTACATTGTGGTGGGCGAGGCAGATTGTTCATCATTTGGGGAACTTTACCACAAGTTAAATAAATCTTTAGCTCAAAAATAAAGTGCACTATTTTTAGACACGATATTTTTCAATGTACGTTGGCATTTTAGTCGTTCGGTGGGAAGCGCATTCTATGGTTTTGGCATCCTTTACATGAAGTAATTGAAACGATAACACTTGATAAGATCGAGCTTCACAAAATGAATTTATTTATTTCACCTGAGAATTTGCTTGTAAAATTGACGCTTATTGGTATCATCACTGATATACAAATATAGTAGGTTTTGTCGCACAGTCAATGGTACATCGGGATTCTGTTGTACATTTCGAACTGTTGTGTTACAGTAAATTTGATTCGGAGTTAACACTAGATTGAAATATAGGTATTGAAGTAGTCTCACTAGTGACAGGTAGACACCGTAATTAAAGTTGCTTTGGATTAGAAAAAAATCGTCAAATCTTAGACATAAGCGATAAACCTAGATAATTACTAATTGAATTGTAGTCTATGCAAATAAAACTAGTCATATGAAAATATTGTACAATGTCCACCTACTTACCATTATGATTCAATAATATGCATTTTGAAGTGTTACAGCTTGAACTAATGCTCTTCGGTTGCACACTTTCTAATACTTCCCCATTCGAACATGCGAAAGGTTTTTATCAGGGGTTCATGAGACAATCTTGTTCTATCTTAAAGCTAGATCTGTAGTGACCTAGAACACATATGGGAACAACTGATTGTACAGAATCTTTGTAAACTGAGAACAATAGACTGAATACTTCTTTTGCAAATTTCCATCATTTGTCTTTCACATTCTGTATGATTCTCCCTGTCCATAATTCCTTTTTATTTTCTTCAACTCGATCTTCTGCTGCCAGGTTTTCCAATTGATGGTACATACTACTTATGTCTGTCGATATAAGTAGCATAAACCACAGATCTAAATGTTACTTTGATATAACACAGCGTTTATCTTGAGCTTTGAACTTTCCATTAGGGTGTTGCGTAACGAAAATGCACTTACGATCTACTATACCTAGGACTCAGACTTCTGTTTTGACTCAGAAAACACAACACCAAAATCATTCACCTGAGCTACAAACCTCCACCATCTCAGTTGAATATAGCCTAGAACTACAACATCATCTGGTACTAGGGAATTGTTAACCGTATGGTTAGCTCAACAAGTTCATTTTACTGAGCGAGTATTTTTCAATAACTTCGATCGATGAAGGTTCGCAGCCTCGTCAACGAACACATCATCTCTATCTGGTGCTGCCCCGGATTATGAGTAAGCAATGCTTCGGAGATATCCATAACCGAATAGCTTCAACGAGCACTCGCTTCCTAACCTCATAAGCCATAACCTATTATTGTGGAGTACACAGTGAACTTTGTACTCAAGCCGAAATCTCGTCAGCTATCGACTTATCAAGAGTGATGGGACACAAAGGATAAGTGCGCGGTCGACACGTTCACTCCGTATGGGCAAACTAAGAACTTAGACAAGTCATTCCTTAAAAGAAGCACATCTTGCACAACGACGTTTACGATAATACTATATTCTGTCAGCACGTACACAAGTTTGTCTTTTCACCTGTTTTCCAAGTTGAGTCGTCAGTATCATTTCTGAGAGTCTATCAATTAGACAGACGCTACTCAAATTCACAGAATTTCCCAAATCTTATGGCTTTGGTTACTACGAGACATTTGCTTTCGAATTCGCTTGTAGACCACGCAACGCTACCCTTGGATGAGCGACAGCTTCATGTTCTTTTTTTTCTAATTAGTTGCTTCTTAAAAAACCCCGAAATTTTGATAGTCTAATCTTTCGGTTCATCAGGTTTGAAAAACCCTGACAAATCTCATCCAGATTGCTAAATTCCTATGATACTTAGAGTTAGTGCTAGCCAAGTTAACACTTCGATCTTGTTGAGGAACTATCAGCTAAATTTACTTATATACCAGTGAGATGGGATATGGGTGACTTTAAATGATTGTAAAGGGCTCAGATCGATCTTTTATTGGAGATCAGAAGTAAATCTTATCCACAGATACTTAAGTGATATTTAGAAAGAATTAGTTCGGTTAAAAACAACTGTATATATTCCTCAGTAGTAATTTGAATTCATGAAACAGAAAAACAATCTTTACATACTAATATTGTTATTGTGTTACAGGGGGGATTTTCACTAAAAGTTGATCATCAGCCAAAATGATATCTCCACTGAAATCTGTAGATTTGGCTTGATCTAAGATAATTTGTAAACTAGGTTTGTTTTTCTTATCATTTTTAGATTTCTTTGAATGATTCACCTGTTCACCAATTTCACCTGTAAGAAAGTACAGTTCGTGTGATTTTTCAAAGTAATGATAAATGAATAATATTAACCAATCATATATTGATGTAATGAAAAAGCCAAAGCAATAACAATACGGTGCAATCAGTTTTCCTGACAATTTGGTTATATGTTTAAATTTATTTTGAACAGTACAATATGATATCTGTCAACTCAATTTGTAGAAGCTTAAATCCAAAGGGTTTACTAAGAAATAAACATTATTTATAACATCGGGCGTAATAGTATCGCATCGATATATATAATGTAGATCACAAAAAATTAACTTTTAGATTCATTGGATGAGTACTGAAGAGATAAAGCCTTGAGGTGAATAAGAGACTTCACCGATGGTCTTTGGATTATGAGTCGTGATGAACAATTCTAACTACCTTGCAATTTCATTAACATTTAATTTTGCCATTTTTCTTAGGGCAATGTTTTCAGCTTAGATTTTAAAGAACCAAAAATTGCGTCTCCTTGAATATACATCAGTTTTCTTTGGTGTTATTAGTACCAAATTAATGAGTGATAACGAAGCATAAAATACGACTTGTTGTTTACACAAACAAATATGCCTTAAAACGAAAGGATTATTATATTTGATGGTTTTCGTCCCAGACTGACACCTACAGGTGAATCATTGGAACACTGGACATTTGTTTTGGTACAGTATGGAAATTTTCATTAGTAATAACCAACAATCTGCAGTCCTCGCAGCGAACGTGTTACCTACAGATCCATACATCGGGATTTGAGAGGATATATTTTGAATCCAGTGATAACTTTTATCTAAGTTCTAAAATTATTATCTGTATGTATATATTAGTGCGATAAACTACTGTAACTTATAATTTTTTATCTCATCAATAACTGAATTTACTAATTAATCTACATTCTAATGACATTCTTCAGAAGTTTAAAACCTGTTAACTTCAATACTGAATCTGTGGTTGCTTTTGATAAATAAATGAGCTGAGTAATCTTCTGATCAATTCTTAATTATAGCATTATTGAGATTCTGCTAAAGTGAGTTTCTATCAACATTTCAGTTTGTTTTTGACAAAAAATAATAGCAGTAATCATAAATACATTAATTTACAACATATTTTGTTGGGTAAAACTATATTTTTATAACAATATCAAGGTGAATTTACTTTTTATAGTGTTTTCATCTAGAGAATCTATTCGATCATATCTATGACTGAAATGTGTTAAAACTAACTGACGAACATTGAGTTGACAGGCTAATTTCATTACAACTCTTGGTACAGAATGACCTTTGCTCAATGCATCCTCATATAAACTGTCGTCTAAAGTAGCTTCATGTACAAGGGTATCCAAAGTTATAGAAGTAATTTGATTTGCAGTATGCAAAACCTGCATAAGACGTAAAAGTTCAGAAGAATCATACGTATCCCCCATAATTGCGATACGACAACCTCTTAAACGCGGTTTCAACACATCTTCAGGTCGAACTGTTTTACCATCAATGACAACTGTCTTACCCTTAGGAGAAGAAAGAAGCATTGAAATTGTTTTGTGATATCGATTAACAAATGATATCAGAATCAAAACATATCCTATCTTGAGAAAAACAATCGATTTTAGTGTTAATAATCTAAGTTAATTCTAAATTATGATGTTTTACATAAAAAAAACCAAGAGACAAGTGAATATATGGAAAGACGTTAGAAACACTAACCATAAAACAACATAAGATAAAAACATTCACATATAAATGTTGTACTAAAAAAACAACAATTTAGATAAATGATTATGACTATCGAATTGGTCAACTATTAAAATATCACTAACTAAAAATAAGATTATAAATATATACATGTGATATGCCTGGTTATTATAAAAGAAAATCTAATTCGGATATATAATTGTAATTCAAAATACATCAGCTAAAATTCACTAATCAACTATCTATGTCATTATAAACTATGAATAATAAAAATTAATTAATTTAAATAAAAGTAATTGAATTATGAGCAGTAATGTTGGCATAACTTATATTTTTATTGACAAACCTAGAAAATTTCTGTGAAATATTGACGTTATACAATAAATCAACTTTATTGAAATCGAAATACACCATTATTTAGATTGAAGTTTGTTATTATCAAACATCATAACAATATGATTGTATAAATAATCTATGCTCTATTATTATTATCCAGGATTAGGATACCATGGATGAAACTATAGAAGTTAGTTTTAATGTTAATTGTAGTGTATAGTCAAAGAGTATGACAGTCTATGATTTCTCTTTCATTTTTTTTTAATTAGACAAAGACAAAAAGTATCTATAATAAGGAGGGGATGAACGCAAGTGAATTCCTGAAATATTATGATTACTCCTCAATTATTTGTCATTCAGTTTGATTATTTGACTGACGATATGCTGATATTTCTCAGTTAGATTGTTTCGTGTCAATCCTAGTGATTTATCTTGATAATCTAAAACTTTACATTTTTTATATTATTGTTCCTTATACCTGTTTGTCAATTAGGTGTTTTAAGATACTTAGATATATTCAATTCATGATCATCTGAAAACAACAAAATAGAACTGATGAAAAATAGAAATTATCAATGTCGGTTAATCATAAACAAAGTAAGAACTGACAGAAATGTTAGTTGGTTCAATTTGTCTTACATTACAGTAACATGGTAAGAATAAATCAACAAAACGAAAGTCAAAAAGTGTAAATAAAAGTAGTCGGTAAGCAATATTGCAGTAAAGTGTTCAGTCACGGTAGTCTGTAAGCAGATGAAGATATTAATAAAATTAAAAACGGTGTCCTGGAACGATTACTTGAACTTGGTAACCTGATTTAAAGTGGTAAAAAGATTATCTGTACGATGAAGGAAGTGATATATGATAAGATATAATCATTTAATCTATGCATACTTAACAAAGGTATTAACATAACTAACTTTAGAGTGAGTCTGTTCCAATAATACACTAGATAAGCTGATGAATATGAAATACGATAAACAAGAATGTAATATTGCTCACTTAATTCAATTATATGTATCACACACAACTCACAACAAAGCCCCCAAATGCCCTGGTACGGCGGAGAGTCCTCTCTTCTCGTAACGCTCTCACACGTATACAGCCATTGCCAGGGAAGTCCTACTTACTGCCTTCCCGCGGCGGGCTGGTTGTTTACGAAAAGCGAATGTCCGACGCTTTGACCGGGTTGGTAGATGAGGAGGATCCACCTAGGGGAGTTGGGAAACTCTGATTCCAGGTCAATGGTAAACATGAGCTCCAGTAGCCTGAGGGAACAAATGGCGTAAGAATCAATCGTTGGTCACCGGCTACCATGGGACTGCATCTCCCGACGTTGCTCCACTTCCTTGTGGATCAGACCTATAGGTCGAAGGCTCCGAGTGTGACTCCTGAGAAAATCACCTGATACAGTCTGGGCACCCGGGTAGTATCGCTGCTCATATGCACAAATCAAGTGACTTGTGTGGTGCATATGTATTCGGTGCCTCCTTGTACCAATATTTGTGTTCAAATAAATAAATAATAAGTAGGTATCAGACGATTAAGAGCATAACTTATGTCAGGGTTTACGGTGATAATCAGATACAAAGAAACACACTTAACTTAGTAACACATGAACATATGAATAAACCGCTGACAGTTAATTGTATATATTGAAGGCTCCATGTTTTTTTAGATAAGAGCATAGAAGCAAAAATGTTACCGAGACAACTCATATACCCGTTACTAGTATCACTGATAACTTTGATATGATATGTCCATTTAATTATTTATACGATATCACAACACCGAATTAATGAAAATAAAAACATATATAAAATACTCGTTTCAGTTCACCCATTAATCGTCCTTTGGGAACGCCTAATTTTATAGCTGTTTCAGCACACAAGGAAGGTGCATGATCCGGCTTTATTATCAGCCAACCTACGGAAGGAATCGTATGTTTTATAGACACTGCATGCACCATTTCACAGTTCTCTTCATTATTTGTAACATTATACCAGAATCCTGAAAAACAGATAACACATAGCATCATGTAACATACTTCAAAACTTAATTAGACAAACTCTCATAGAACCATAATAATATCAGTGAAGTTTTCGTGAATTTAATACAAATTTATAGGGGATAGCTACATAAAGAATTAGATTTGTAAGATATTGGTTGGAAAGGTATAAACTTTCTTGTTCCTGCCTTTGACTTTTTCCAACTGTATCTTTTTCCTGGACCAGTTAAACTCAGTCAGTGACTTTCCTATGGCAATTTAATTTTGATCTAAAACATATGATACATAGTTGCTTATATTGACTAACCAACTGAGACATACTATTAAGTGGAGAATTCATTATTTATTCACCAACGGACTTTAAGTAATGCACACCATCCATCATCGTAACAGAATTTCAATAAGTTAACTCGTAAAACTAGGAAAAAAGAGAAATACAACTATAGGATCATGTTTCGGACTCACAACCATTATTCTTCGCTCTATGTCATATGGTGATTATCAGTTAAGTTTAGCATCAGAAAGATTTTTATGGAAAGCAATGAAATGGTTCCAAAGGTAAGATTCAGACGCTTATATGTCATCTCAACTCATTGCTGCTTATTAAAGAGCGCCAATAATCGTATGAAGTAACAGTGATGATGAATATATGTGATGTTGTAAAGTCAATCTTATTGGAGTCAACCTAATAATGGCTAAGTTAGGAACCAAACCATTTAAAAAACCTAGGTATGAATCCCACTTTCAGTTATAAAGCAATTACAATGCAATGCATTTCAATTTAAACATAATGAAATAAGTGAATTTAGACAAATATTTATAACTGACGTTCACCAATAAATCTTACCATCACTGTTCGCAAAAATGTCTCTACCAGAACGTTCACAAAATAATGGGGGATCTCGAGTTATATCAGCCTCTAAACATGCCCAGTCTTGCCAATTTGGAGGACAATGTTTTTCTTCTAGTATCAACTCATGAACAGCATAAGTGTAGCTTAAATTAGCTCTAGAACAAATGAAAATATTAAATCTTATTGGTGTTTTATCTCAAATTATACAGTATTTAAGTAAAATCTTACACAATGTAAAACAGTTTAACAAGATTGATATTAAATAAAGAGACACACTCTGTCACTGAAGAAAGAATACAATTCAGCTGTACAGTCGTATTTATAGTTAATTCTATTTGCTAAAATAGTAGTTTATAGTAAAACAAAATATCTAAAAAAGCCGGAGTGACATCTTATCATGAAATGCTTACGAAAATCAGACATCGAAAGAAAGTTATGTGACAATTGGCTAGTGAGAATTGGTAGTGTGAAGACAATTATCCACTACATAGCGGTTAAGAAGAGAATAATTAAAAATCATAATAATTGTTAATAGCTATGAAAATAAATGGGAAGGAGTAGAATAACAAAATAAAAACAAAAAACGATAGATTATGGAAAACAGAAGGCTATAGAAGGATGAGAGACTGAAAATACCGTTTTTGTACGCAAAGGTTAAACTTGAACTGGTGGATAGAGATAGCCTCTGCTGTAAATAAGTTTTCCGTTTGCATTGCTGTTGAGCCGACACTTCTGACTGTATGCATGGTTTTGAAGGAGGCTTTTGATTAAACGGAGTGACCAGATTGACTAGATTCTTTGAAAAATTGATATTCACATGTGTTAGCGGGACATAGACTAGATTAAAGCACGTTCAATGCATGATTGCTTTGGTGCACGCTGATTGGCTAATTCTTATCCAATCAGCACTAGTCGATAGTTGGAGAATACTCTAGAATCATCTCATGTAAAAACTATAAATATACTGACGTTTTTCCTATTGTGCTTCTGACTTGCTATTTGGAATATAATCTCTTTCCTGTTCAACCGTGTTCTGATTTTGGGACCTGTCGAGTGAATCAGTGTCCGAGAATACTAAACAATAGGAATAGCTGGGTCATAACCGTAAGAAGAAAGAGATTATAACAACATGCCATATTGCTTTTGTGAAATCCAAAATATATAACATACAATAAGAGATTACCGAAATCTATTTTTATCCAGGTCGTTAATTTTCCACAAATATGTCATAAGATATTCCGACTTTGATTGACGCAAAGGATTGCGAGCGATCAATATGTCTGGTAAGTTGTCATAATCAAGGACAACTGAATTTTTTAATAGGCTACTTATCAAATAACAGCTTCACTGAATAGCAACGTTGAATAAATAGCAGGTATTGGATGTTGAGGATTTCGATTGGCATTATTCAGATAGTACCAGAATGCAGAAAATGTAGGAAAGTTTACAGAAAAGTAATGGTGCGGCTTTTTTCACATAGCCGTTTTAAAGTAACTTTAAAATAGGCAAAACAAAGCCAGAACTGCAGAGGGAATTTATGAAGAATTTTAATCTTTGGTTAACGCATTGATGTCCGCTCAACCGTTCAGACTTGGTTTTAAATCATGAACTACTGATACCTTAGTCAAACTGAAGGATGAGCGGAATGCCGCATATTTAAAAAAAGTGAACAGAATCACTTCATAATATTGAATTTATGTTATTTAGGATTCACACTTATTTCCAATGCTGAAGACTTATTATGGAGATTAAAGGCATATTGGGCTTTAAGATGAACAATAAGCTTTCTAGCTTATCTACTGGATTATTGTTTTGCTTCCGAGCTAATCAATACGTCAAGCTCTTGAGACCCCGTTAGAAAACACTCATCATATCTCCGTTACAGAATTTTGTGCATCCTCAAACATTTATTAATTATCATGGTGACATTGATATAATGTAAGTGACCGTATCAGAGGTAACAGTAAATGGTTCCCTTACATACTACAGAGTAATGGAATACCAAATGAAAAGAAAAAAATATTACAGAGCAAGAAGCTTAAGCGTTGAAACTTGATGTTAATGAGCAGCATGACGCAGTATATTGAAAGTTTAAGATATCATTCATCAGGCCCAAACAGAATATACAACTCTGTTGTAAATTAGAAAATGTAGATGTATCCATAATATATACTGGCATTCATACTTTGTAAATTGATTAAAGCTACTCTATGATTTAATATTTTGCAATATACAATATTTAAGAGTAAATTACGACAATTCAATAACTAAATGCAACCTAATAAACCAGTAAAATTCCACAACTACTATAAGAAGGCTAATCATACTATCCTGTTATACAGATCGAAACAAGATGCGAATTTTCAACCCAATAGTTGAAAGTACATATGCTACTAGATGTTAATAACATATCCGCGTTCTTACGAAGATCCGAGTATACTGAGTAGATTTCTAGCTATGTATTACACAGCTAATGTACGACTTGGAGACATCATAATCGCAGGTATTTTCACACAAATTTCCTTGGAACTTTACTCATATTGGGCTAAACAAAAGAAATAGTTTTGATTTCAGACGTTAAGCTCTGAAAAATGGTAGAAATCTAATCGGAAAATCTGCTGACTTGAGCTTCCAGAAAATGTATTCTACTTCACACATTTTGTAGTTTCTAGGAAGCTTTGGAGTAACTGTTTCAGAACATAGAACCAGATCGTGAAGGAAATTCCCTAGAAACAGGTAGATAGGACGAATTTAACCTTTCAACCCTTAGCTACAGCATATCAGAACCATTTATTCAAAAATTATAGACATGGCCAGAAAAATTTTGCAATAGAACACATTCATTTTAAACCTTTCTTTATCTGTTGAAGATTTTATCGTAGCCAATATTGGGTTTATTTTTTCTTGTCTTTTCTCTAATTAGTTAGTACATTTTCTTGTTTCATTATTTATCTATGTCGATTACAATTATGCCAACTTAAATGGATGTACTAATGCATGACATTTCATGTAATTTAATGCTTCTACCAGTCAATCATTTAGGTCAAAATAGCTTGATTGGGTGTCGAATAGATGACCGAATCACCAAACAGCGAACAAGCTGTAACACCCATAGCTTACCTTGATAATGCAAGAGCAAGTCGAAGGAATCTGCGAAGTCCCTTTGGCCCATAAATGTTTATGGAGGCGCCATCGTTTTGTCGGTCTACATCTTCTAATACGACACTATTAGCTTCACCTTTCTGATCTATTGTACATAAAAGTCCAGGAAGACCAAACATATGATCCCCATGAAGATGTGAAATAAAAATAGAATTGATTTTTCCAAAGTGAACGAAAGACGATTTTTGCGCTTGTATCTGTACACCTTCACCACAGTCAAATAACCATTGTGAACCAGAACATAAGTCACGTAATACTACACCAGAAGCTCCCCTATGGGGTGACGGATATCCAGATGCAGTGCCTAAGAAAATCAACTCCTGAAAAAGCGATTTCACACAGTTTACTATAAAAAAATTTTGGCAGCTAAAATAAATCAAATACTTCTAAAATTAGTCGATATTAATTGAAGTTTTGATGAACGAGTATCAAGTTGGTTTTTGTGATTGTCGTGTAAATAATAGTCCTTTGGTTCTGTAATAACCTTACGTTTAATGCAAGGCCGGTGATTCCAAATCCTGAGAAGTCAGGAAGCTTCCAGATCTGTTGTGAATACAACGACCATACATCTAAATTTTATCAAGTTATGGTGAATATAATTTATTAACACCCGATCGTAAACGAAATTTCTCACTAATAAATTACACTCAGACCTACCAATTGAGAGGTTTTATGGCAATGTCTGGAAAGTACATTACATCATAGACGCTTTTACTATTGACCGGACCTCATGTTACGTACAAATTCCATCTGAATTAGAAACGTCAAGTAGTTGTTATTGTTATTATCATCTTTTTCATTCTCTATAAGCATATTTCCGGAGATGACTTTGTATTCACCTGGTTTTCGCCTGAAGACTTTTGTCGACTTAGACGATATACCCCTATTTAACCAAAAAACTCGACGAAATGCAGTCTCTTGAACATCCTAACATATATTTGAGGAATGCTTTGAATGTGATCATCATATTGCAGTTACATTACTGTCCAGTTTGCGAAATAGTGAAGTGTTTGAGAGCGGTAAACAACCCAACTTTTAGTTTCCACAACCCAGTCAAATTGGTGACTGACGAAACCTCGTGATGAACACAAACTTTCTATTTGACATTTTTGGAAATTGCGCAACACCTCGGATAAGGTGTATTTTTACCCCTTAAAAACTCCGCCTGTAGCTCTTCTAGAGCTACAGGCTAAGTGGTAAAATAAATCACAATAATACTTCTGTAATCAGCTCTTTGTTATCCCTTTTATTAAGAAATACCAGGATATAAATGACTGTTTTAACAACAATTGCCACAAAACAGCAATAACTACTCCAATAAAATCTCAAAGATTTTATAAATTCCGAATTTTCTGTGGGAAACAAAGTTGCGATTTATACAATGCATCATAAAGTTGACAAGAAGTGAAGACCTAACAAATATTAAGCTTCTATATAAACCTAGGAACGAAAGGATATTATCGTTTTTATTCAGTAATAAACAGGAAATCCAAAATGACCATATCGTGCGAATAACACTACTAGGAACGTCGACAACCAATTATATGAATATGGTTTAGTAGGGAATACAAGAAGTGTGGCCTAATAATCAAAACGTAATATCAAAAAAAGCACCGAACCTCCAGGCGATTACCTTGAGCAACGGATGGAGACGTTAAATGACGTGGTGCAAAACCCGTCACAATTACGTAAATGAACTCTGTTTGTCTTTCTGTAGATACATAATTTCAAAATCCTTCTCCAATCATATGTTCTATACATAATCTTTCTACTATTATTGAAACCAATACTTTATTATTCATCTAAGTAATTTAGTTACACTGTAGTTATGTTATGTGCCAACTTGGACCGAAGCACATACATGCCACGTTCTACGTTGCTCATGACCGATAGTATTAAACATTGGTTCTCCTTAGTCGCAGACTGAGCCGAAGTTGAGTTGATAACGTCGTAGATTACCCAAGAAGTGTACACAATACGTATGAAGCAACAGAAAGCCGATAATACATACGAATCTGTAATAACCCAGTGGGTGAAAGATTGGGTTTCTTGCGCTTCATGACTAAATGTAGGCCGCTTTTCAAATAGGTGATTTTTTAGTTGCTCGTACATTTTGTCGAAATTTGTGGGACGTTTTCGAGATACTTGGATATTAATAATGTTGATGTGGGGGTTGGATATATAATGCACGTCAAGCACAGCGATTTGGTCAATAACCAATTTACCCCATGAGCAATCGAAGTTTATAAAGTCAAGTGGTAATATCCATGAACAAAAATGTGGTTCGAATTATTAGACTAGTGAAGCTAGGGTAGGTGTATAGGATAATACTTTGATTTTAGTATAAACCGGCCCTAGTTTTTAATCCACTCCAAGGATTTTAAGAACCTTTTAAATGCTTTTATCGCACCATCGTACTAACATTCAAAGAATGTTGTTGGAACAACCGGAATTGTAGTTCGAAAATTGAAAAAAAATAAAACATGGGCTTTCGTGCTCCTTGAGATACATGACACTGACAAATCAACACTGGTCCCAGAAATAAAACTTATGAGCCAAGAAAATGAGGTAATCCTTTTACTAGCTCACTAATCGATATACAACAAGCAGGAAAAATACCCTAACTGGCCGATTAATGACAAGATGCGGAATTACTCAAGTCCGTTAAGCAACAGTTTGAGAACAACTGGGACATGTTTCCTATTCGCCAAATGAAAGATGACCCTCTAATACTAGAGTAATCGAGACATATATTAGGAAATGATTGTCTAATTGACCCTGTTGAGGAGGTAGGTACGGTTAGACTTTATAAATCGGCCATCTGAGAAGTCCGCAATTAAATAAAAGGATCGTACTGAGGATTTATCAAACAACGTTACAAATAAAATCCCCAATGGTTTATCAAACAATATGTATGATGGACAGTAGCCCATGATAGTCTACGTTAGATACCATTTTGAGAATGGAGAATGTGTAGCTACAGGTTTTCAGTTAGTGTATGTCCAATATTGTTCATGTATCTTGAGAATAACGGGTGTAGTTATGTACATACTCTGTGTGGAGCAGAGGTTAAAGATAGTATGTGAAATGACTTAAAATCTACCACAACGCCGAAAGTGGTTCTTCTCACCTTTACGTAGCTTTTGGACATTTGTTCACTGAAAATGGTCTATCTTTCTTGACAATTGTCCTCTTATTTTATTTACTGTTCCTGTGTGAAAAATGTGAGATAGCGCACAAAGTTAAGGCTCATTAAACAACTGTTTGCCTGTAAAAGTTGAAAGTCAACTATACAGGATCATTTCCCCCTATATCTGGATAGTGTAACAAGATTAACTGATATAAGTCCTCAGAAAGAACCTTTTGTATTGAAATATTAAACTAATTATGCGTATGAAATAGTATGTGTAGGTAAGCATTTAAATTTCTTCCTTTCCATCGAACTACTAAGATGGTCTACTAGAACTAGCAATACTAATATGACTTAAGTACCTTTAAGTAGTCTTTGAATCTTAGCTTTTACAATGAGTTAGTACACATAAATTTAGAATGTACTACTGTAAAGGGATATATTTAGAATAAACCTTAGATATCAATGAAACTTCGACCTTTTTTTAACTCAACACGACTGGTGAACGAATAAGTCATTTATACGACGAATTCACCAGGCTAGCAAAAAATTTCCGGGTAATTCCCTAATATTTCCACAATGTTAAAATATCTTAATTTTACGAATATTAATTTTATAAAAATGTTTATCTGACGTTCCAAGCAAACTCGAAGTATAAAATGAAAATTTAAAGTATGCTTTATTTTAAAGATAGATACAATTTAATCAATACAACTAATCTAGCTTTCAGTACTATCGAATTTGTGCTTATTTATCGTCTCATCTTGTTTTAGCTCCTTTTCAGCCAATGACAGAATTTCTTCAGAATTTAAGTCTGGGTGAAGCTCTCTCAAATTCCTACACTTTTTTAAGAGCCTGACGCAGTGTCAAGTAAAATAAACACTTACTTAGACAGTGTCGAACGATTGTCCACTAGTTTGAACATGTTTAATGTTTCGAGCCTGTGATGACCTTTGAAAAAAGCTCTGGTGAAAGTTCACAAAAAAGCTACTGGCCTTACGCTCTTTCACAATCTTCTGGATAGATAATATTCTGCACTGTGGTAGTAGGACATGGTCGATCATACGAAGGATCAATACGTGGAGGAAATGCTTTGTATACATCGTACCACAATGGGCGGTCTTCATAATCTAGAGCCCCTTTTTCAATCATTCCTTTGACTCTATTGATACATAGTTGTGGAAAACATGCTCGAACCTTTTAAAAATAGAGGCGAACCTTTCCTTTCTGCTTCCAAGCATTTTTAAACATACCTCGACTTCTTCCCAAGGTTGACTTTGAATTCTTATTGTGATGAACAAAAACTACCAGTTTAATTTAGAGAATATAAGATTTTAGTTGTTATAAACAGCCGGAATGAGATATGACTAGCATTATTTGGTTAAGATTCTGTAATTGTACTCGTTTTTATAAGAACATTGAAAATATTGTGAAAAACATCTTAACACGTGCAATGGACGCTTATTTGAAGGTAGAACGGACCTTAAAAAACGGCATGCAAACCAGGATTGGTGAGCACTCGAGGAAAAAGAACACGACGTGAGAACAGCAGCGTGTATATTTCAGACAGTGAAATAGGCAGTTATGTTATGCAAAGGAAAGCCTAATTATAAATTGGTCTCTTGCATCATTTTTCTAGTACAATTTAAGCAGAGTTTGTTATTCTTCCGGCACATTCAGCAGTCGTTACTCTACAGCACAAAAACGCGGATTCACGATGATGACATCACGCAATTATTTTAATGATGATACTCTACCCCTCTCTCCTCGAGGAACAGTCCTCAGTTCCTAGTTATAGACATGGATAGGGTCTTAACTTCTTCTGGTGGTACTTAGTGGCGGGTTTAGGTTGAATAACTGGATAACTTAGTGTACCAACGTTTGTCTTTGTTTCAGTTGGTTATGGTGTACTGTTATAACGTAGCCTTACATTTACTGAAGGTAACGTAAGGCAAAGCAGGGGGTCAGATAGTTACATCATCCTAGGAC